TATCTCTTTCTTTCCGTCTCATCCTCTCGATGCGTTCGCCACCCTGCGCACACCTCGCTCTCTCCTCGCCCATCTCTCGTCGTTTCCCTCTCGGTCCGGCTGCCGAAATCGCGTCAGCATTTAGCGTGCAGTATATTAGGCGAAATACAGGCGGATATCCTCTCACGGGCCATTACTGTTACCTTTGATCATCGCATGACCGGAGAGTGGTTAACGCTGCGTCATCAGAGCATGAATTTCTCTCTATCTGCCCGGTATAATTTACAATCCGTGCAGCGGCGGCGGCGGCCCTTTCGCCGACCAAATCCAGGCTTGCCCGAAAGACCCCCCCCTAGACAGCCGCTCCTCCCTCCGCCCTTCTCACTCTCATCCTCTTTCTCGCTCCCTTATCATCCTCGTAATCGCTCTCGCAATGAGCATCGCTTATCATTTCTTTAACACTTGGGTATAATCTTTTAGGAAAATTATCATTGTCGATCATCCATCAATGGCAAAACGTCTTAAATAGAAATAGTTTAGAAAAATTGAATAAATTAAATATTAAAAATTAATTAAATGTGAAAAATAATTTATTTATTTATTATAATAATTACAAATTTTTAAATAAAGTTATACAAATAACATTATATTTAGCATTTGAGAAATCAATTAGACGATTATAAATGTAGATAGAATTTTTTTAATTTATTAGATATTTAGCTAATTATTGCTAGATAAAGCAATTAATAAAATAAGGCTTTAAATTTCTTTAACAACAACAAAACGCACGAATATATATAAGATGAAAGTAAGCGCATAGCACTGATAGATTAATTGCACTGATAGTTGCAATCTTCTCAAATGGCGATTGTCTCGAGACATAAGCAATGGGCAAATTTAAAAGCAAAGTGGGCAAGTTGCACGAGATCGTTCGGGCGGTTTCGGTGACCAGCCGAGAGCAGCCTGTTGCATGTCCAACGTCGGGGCTGCTGACGTCACTTCCACCACCGTGTACACACCCGAACGTCGAGTGGCGGGCGTCTCGGTGGGGAGACTCCAAGCGAGCCAGGGGCGTTGATAGTGGTGGGGTACGAGGGACGTGGTGGCAGCGGGGAACGCAACGCTCTCGGAGGGCGTGCTTGACAAAGGCGTGGTTACCGTGTCCCCACCCAACAATAAACAAGCGACTCTGATGTTAATTTGTTTGTTTTGCCCTTCTCTACCTGGTTCTTTCTCTCGACTTCGCCACTCTCTCTCTCTCTCTTTCCCTCTCCCACCCTTTCTTTTCTCTCTCTCCTTCGTCGAGTCTTTCGTCTTCTTGCTTTTCCTTTCACCTCGTTCGGCTACCTGCTTGTCCAAAAACGTGGAAATATTCTAGTAAACCAAACTACATTTAAAGAACTATTAGAGAAACCACATAGATCGAATATCGTTAAGAATTTTTTTTTAGTTATATTACTATATACATACATTTTTACATACTTAATTTTTTTATCAAGTATAATACATAATATTTTAGTACATAATATTTTAAGTGTATGTAATTATAAATTTTTCAAACAATTTTTTTAAGATGATATCATTACATATGACATATTTACATGATTATTAGCATTTTTGGAAAACGTCGCATAACGCTAAAAATGTATTTATTTTAACTGTAAAAAAATTCTATATCAAATTCATAATTATGTAAATATAATAAAACAACAAATAACTTTTATATTGAAGGAAAAGGGGAAGAATAACACTACAAGCAATTACAATCAAGAAGTAATAAAAAACAATTTTATTTTGATTTATGTAAAAATGTAAAGTACATACAAAAATAAAATATATATATTTTTTTAAATTTTGTTTTATATTTTGATTAAGTTATTCTCTCGTCAGAAGAATTTTTTTGTTATTTTTCACCATGTAATTTTGATCGTGATAAAAATTTTCGCACAACAGCAGAGTCAACGATGAAATAAGCAGTATTGATATAATAGCAATTGCGTAAAGCTACGATCGATTCTTCATATTTTTTCGAAGGTAGATCCAAACTTCGTAAATAGCGTTATCGCGACAGCGTGTTCGAGAACAGAGGCGCGTGTGAATCGGTAAATAATAACTTCTTTTCTGCTTCTTGCTTGTTGGCTTCGCCACACCATGCTATTCTCAAGTTTGCTCAAGTGGCGATGGAGAATCACCGGATAGACGAGCGTGAAGTCGATAACAGGCTCGTTAAATGTATACTCGATGAAAATAGTTGCATATCTGTCTTGTGTTTGCCAGGGAGAATGACATTGATACGTGTTGAAATCGGAAAGTTTAAATTGATATTTACAATGTAACCGAGAGAAAGACAGAGACAAACAATGAGCTACGTAAGATGTTTTGCAATAACATTTCAGGGTCACTAAAGAAATAAAAAAAAAAAATAAAAAGAAACCATGAAAAGAATCTTTACATTGCAAAAAAATCGCTTATCTAAAGTAAAGTAGGACACCTTTGAAAAGATATAAGCTTGATTAAGATATCAAGGTAAGCTAATGCGTTATTACGAGAATTGACGTCAATTTATTTCTTGAAATTGGCTTGAAATTTTATATTTTACAAGTGCACATAATTTATATCGAATTGGTTCTTACATTTTGATATTTTCTTGTCTTGAGATATTTGAAAATATCTGAAGTATCCCAAGCTCGCAAACATCTTATGTAGTTGATTCATCAAAACGCGTTTAATTAGCCCCAACGGCTTGGTCAAGTGTAGGTAACGGAGAGAGGTGTAAACGAGAATAATTGCGTCTCACGTAATGTCATCGTGCTTTTGTAGCGCGCGTCATACGTATAAAATTGGTTAGAATCGATCTTAAGAGCCCTGCCCGAGTGCCGGAGGGATGCTCGGAAACGGGGAACGACTTGACCTTGGCTGGATTCACGCGTAGCTGAGCTAACGCAAAATCGAAACGCGTTACTTCCACCGCGTGGATCTCCTAAAGCCGGGTTCACATCGTGACCTGCAGCGACGGCTCTCTCCGGATTCTGGGATACCCACGGATTGCGATTGCGCGCGCAGACCCGCAGGTCCAGAATTAAAAAGGATCGTTAAAAAGTTTTAAGAATCCGTGCAGAACTCAGATAACTCAGATAACTCAGATAAATCAGAAATAATTCTACAACAAAGCGCGACAATGAATGGGCTGTGTAGGCAGATTTATAAAGTATGATATCCTGACGATTAATTACTTCATTAATTATTCATTAATTACCAATATTATTAACTTTAACCTTAATTTTTACCTTCCGTTTTTATAAAAATGGAAAGTAAAAATTTTTTAAATTAAGAAAAGCTTTAAAGGTCTAATTAATGTTAACAAGGATAGCACTATTTTAATGCAAAAATCGTGTTTTTAACGTATTTGTTACTTTTATTGCTATAAATAAAGTAAACTTGTTTACTTATACGGCATTATGTTCATAGTATCACAAACCGTATAACATTTTCACTAGAAAATATCGCACTTGGGATATATCGTTTGCAACAATATTTGCCTGTTTGTTTTTATCAAGGGTCTTCCTTTACGATCAGCAAGAAGACCAATCAATCGGGTATTTATAGCAAGTAGAGAATCCATGCGCTTCAACCATCGTTACTAAATTATTCTGAGCATCTGTTGAAATTTGTTTTCATTTCGCAGCCGTTATCTTCACCGAAGTTTTCGTCAAGTAAACTCGTCAAGGAGATAACTTGAGCAAACTTTTCTGAGTTTCTTATGGCGCAAATCGCACCACGGTTGACCTTCGTAACTCATTCGATTCTGTTTGATCGGACTCATGTGACACGAACGTTTTACATGATCGCAGTCTTGCTTTAATTTATGCCATTTTTTTCATCAATATTCTTCACAGGTTTGACAAATTTATCAATGCTTATTACGCTGACTTTGATTACGATTAATAAATTAATCGACATCAAATTTTACTTGTTATAGTAATAAAAAAATCATACATTTACATTACATCTTTTGATTTTTAATATTTTAAATACTTGTATATAAAATTTTATCGCTTTATACTATAATTTTTGTCATCTAACAATGTTATAAAATTAATTATAAAATTTTTAATTTAGAATGTTAATTATAAAATTTTTATTTTAGAATGTTACGTTGTTACATTGTTACGTTAATGTTAGATTGTTACGTTTTATTATTATTACGCCTTGAAGAATTATACATACTTTATGTGGGATATATATATATATATATATATATATATATATATATATATATATT